AGTCACACACAAGCCTCCTGTGTCCTGAGTTCCTGGCAAGCGGGAAACATGCCCCATCCCTTCCCCTCTGCCCCCGACATGCGATCCACCCACACACCCAGGTGGCTCTGCTGCCAAAGTATCACCAAAGTCCACCGATCCTTGTCACTGGCACACACAGCTCACTGCTCGAGCCACCCTAACACTCCCCAACCTGAATGCTACCCCGGGCGCTCACCATATGCTTCTCCTCTCACCCGCTCGGCCATTCAGCTCACAGCCACCTTTGTAAGATGTGAAACATCCTCAAAAGAAAATCCTTAAACGGAGAGTGGCCACATGACCCAGCCACTCCTCTCCTCAGCACACACCAAGGGAGAGGAAGGCTTTCACCCACACAGGCACCTGGACATGAATGTCCACGGCAGCCTTATTCACAATTGCCAAAAGGTGGAAACAGCCCGAGTGTCCGTCGACAGATACATGGACACACGAATCGTGTTAGATTCACACAACAGAATATTATTCAGCCTTAAAAAGGAATGACACAATGCACAATTTTAAGAATGTACTTAATCCCACTGAACTGTACACTTAAAAATGGTTAAGGTAGGGGACTCTCTTGTCCCCTCCTGGCTTGAACCAGGAGCTCTGTCCTCTCGCTTTCTCTCTAAATAAAAGCCTCTGCCTTGCTCTCCTAAAAATAAAAAAATTTTAAAAATGGTTAAGGTACATTTCATGTTATATTTTATCACGATTTTTAAAAAAAGGAATGAAGCACTGACACATGGTACAACATGGGTGAGGCCCAAACAGGCTGAGTGACAGCAACCAGAAACAAAAGGCCACACAGTTTGTGAGTCCATGCCTGTGAAACGTCCAGAACAGGCACATCCATAGAGACAGAAAGATTAGTGGGTGCTGGGGGCTGGGGAGGGGGGATGACTGCTCCTGGGGACCAGGTCTCCTTCTGGGGGATGGAAATGTTCTCAAGTTGACTGGCAATGGTCACACAACTCTGCAGATACACTAAAAACCACTGTGTGGTGCCCTGTAACTGGGTGGATCGAAAGGACTTGTGACCCTTGAACACCACAGGTGTGAACTGGACAGGTCCACTCACACATGGATTTTTTTTTGGTAAATATACTGGAAAATTGTTTGCAGATTACTGACAATTTGAAAAAACATTTTCTTTTCTCGAGCTTACTTTATTCTAAGAACACAGTATATAATACACAGAACATGCAAAATACATGTTAACTGTTTATGTTGTTGGTACGTCTTCTGCTCAACAGCAGACTGTTGGTAGTTACGGTTTTGGGGAATCAAAAGTTAGTTGATTTTCGACTGCATGGGGGTTGGGGCCCTAACACCTTGTCCATGGGTCAACTGTATTGGGAATTAAATCTCAATAAAGCTGCTACAAAAATGAGCAAACCCTCAAGGGCCCCTCCCCCAGGGTGAGATCCAGGCCCCCAGAGTTGCTCCAGCCCCTCCCCAAACACCAGCCTCACTGGCCTCCCACCTGTCCTCAGTCTCACCAAGCCCTTCCCACCTCAGCGCCTCACCTGGGGCACTCTTCCCTGGAACACTCCCTGCCCCCTGCCTAGCCAGTCCTACCACTGCTTCTTTTCTGAGAACATCTGCTCCATTCATTTAGTCATCTCTCCTGTCCCCTTAAAACCATGCTGGCTCCTACATGCCTGGTACACTGCTGGCTCCCCAGCACCTGACACCCCTGTGATGTGCTACCCCAACTTCACAGGTCAGGATTCTGAGGACCAGAGAGGTTAAGAAACCTGCCCAAAGTCACACAGCAGAATGCCACAGTCCTCCCTGCACATGGGGCTGCCCCAAGTCTGAGGACAAGAATGGAACACTCATGTATGCACCCTTGTACAGGAGATTACAGAGTGGTCTCCCTGACATCACACCCCATCCCCCAAACCAACCTGGCCCCTAGGGTCCCTGCCCCCATGTGACGTGACAGTGTGCATTTACTCATCAGGCTGAACTTCTGCTGACTGGCCTTTCATGTGGGAAGGCCCTGGGTGCATGCCCATCAGCAGGGAAGACAGTGAGTGGACCCACACGGGCCTGCTTGCTCCAGGAGTGGGCATGCTGTCCTGCAGAACTCCTGGGAGAGAAGCAGCGCCCACCGGGCTGTGGCCCACCTGTCTGCAGGGGCAGGCAGTGTGGAAGGCTGCAGCCGCGGAGGGAGGACAGAAAAGGTGCCTGCATCAGGTTACCAATGTGGTACTCGCCACGTGCAACGGCCAAATAAGCCTGGAAGCAGCTTTCCCATCCTGGTCCCACATGGGAAAAGCCATCAGCCCGCCTCAGATGACACAGCCACACCGGTGGGTGCAGAGCTTTGAACTCTACCTACCCAGGTACAAAATGTTTGCACCCCTGCCCACTCCACATTTCCTCCAAACTGAAGGTTTCTTGGCCTCCAGCATTGCTGACATTGGGGGCTCGATCACTCTCTGTTGGGGGGCCACCCATGCATCGTGGGGTGTTGAGCAGTATCTCTCTTCTCTATCCACTAGATGCCTAAGTAGCATCCCCAGGCAAACTGTCCCCAGTCATTGCCAGATGTCCCGGGTGGGGAGAGGGGGCAGAATCGCCCCCATTAGAGAACACTATTCTGTCTCTAAAATCCAGCGTTAAGTTCACCTCTGCCCATGGCCCACTCCCACCCCACCTCCCCAACTGTAAAGGAAGGCAACAAGACAAAGAGGAAAGAGATAGAAAATGGTTTCCTGAACTGAAAATTGCTGTCTGAATCTCTTAAAAATCTTCTAAATCCATCAAGGACGAATGGATAAATAAATGTGGTCCATCCATACAGTGGAATATTACTCAGTTGTGAAAAGGAATAAAGCCCTGACAGATGTTACAATGTAGATAAACCTTAAAAATACTACACTGAATAAAAGAAGCCACACACAAAAGGCCACAAAATGATTCCATTTATATGTGATGTCCAGAACAGGCAAATCCATAGAGACAGAAAGCAGATCAGCGGTTGCCAGGAGCTGGGTAGGGGGACAGGGAGTGACAGCTCATGGGGACGGGGTCTCCTTTTGGGGTGATGAGAATGTTTTGGAATAGTGGCGATGGTTGCACAACTCAATATACTAAAACTCACGGATATTTACACTTAAAATAAGTAAACTATGTGGGACATGAACTATATCTCAATAACACTGTTATTTAAAAAAAATATTTGCAACAATTCACTTTCAACCCCAGTGTAGAAACTGGACGCTGCTCTCGTCACGAAGACAGCCACAAACCGAGCGTGACCCCCTTCTTCCTGTCACAGCAGATACATTTCACACCTACTGCACGCTACATGCTGGAGACAAAATGAGGTGGACACTCCTGCCCTCAGAAGCCCTGACTTAAGGGAGACTCTCAAGTTGCACTTTCTTTCATTCATTTATTCATTCACCAGTCAACTCTTCCTCTATGTCCTGAGTTCAAACTTGAGCAGCTGGAGCAGGGACAAGCAGTTACCTGGCCAACAGTGAACCCCCAGTCAATATGGACAGAATCCACAGAAACAAAGATAAACACTCTAGTCGGTAAGGTCACAGTCTCGTGGATAAACAAGCAACTAATTAGAAAATAACACGACCTGAAAATTCCACATAAGAATTCAGAGACTGAGGCTCCCATCAGAGAGGTAGGTCGGCCTCGGACAGGCAGATTAGAGGCCAAATCCAGAAACCAGCAAGTGGTTGTCTACAGCTCCCACCCAAACCCTTCCCGAGGCCCCAGCATGCAAGATGGGAGTCCCATGACTCGCAGGGATGCAGTGGAGATTGACTGCCAGCTGTGCAAAGTGTGCTCACCTCCTTGACCCACAAAAAGGGCTTGCTAGACACACTTGACGAAAAGGACACCAAGGCCCAAGGAGTTTGGTACCTTTCTGTGGTCTTTGGCCAGAGAACCCAGGAGAAGAGCCAGGCCTCTGACCCCAGTCCCGCCCAAGTCCCTGCTCTAGGCTCACAGCAGTTTCCAAGGCAAGGTTAGCGGGTAACTTGGCCTACCCTGCACACCAGATGCTTCCAGCCACCTGAGGAAGAGTTGCCCTTCTACACTGGTCCTGAAGGGCCAGGGGCCATCTGTTGACAACTGTCTCTCATCTCAGTGGGAGGAACATCACCTAGAGTGTGGAAGGGGCAGCTGACTCCACTCCAAGCTCCAGGACTGAATACAGTCTCCTTCCTGAACCCTTCAGGTCCCAGCAGGGGATGGCACCAGACCTTTCCCTCAGGTGTCCAAATGGAAGAGATACCTGTCCCACCTCAGGTCTGCAAGTGGGGGGACCTTTTCTTCCTCCAACACCCAGGGAGTGAGAGCACAGGTGACAACCATGTAGAGACACCTGTCCCTTCAGATAACAATGATGTAGAGGCCCTTGTCCTGCCCCAGGTACCAGTGATGTGGGAGCGCCAGCCCTCCTTCCCCAGCCAAAATGATGCTTGAAGTAGCACTCAGTTCACACACCTCAGTGTCATCTTGTCCCCCACAGGTAGTAGGAATATAGGGGTACCTGTCCCCCTCAAGTAGCAATGATACAAGAATACCTGTCCCCCGCAGGTAGCAAGATGTAGGGACACCAGTCCCCTCAAGACAGCTATGATGCTGTGACACCTGTACTCTCTAGATAAGTAATGATGGAGGGACCCTGTCCCCTCCAGGTAACAATGATGAAGGGACACTATTCCCTTCAGGTAAGTAATGATGGAGAGACCCCCTGTCCCTTCCAGGTAATAATGATGCAGTGACACCTGTCCCCCTTCAGGTATCCGTGATGTAGGGACACCCGTCCCGCCCACGGCGCTCGGGGCGTGGGGACATCTGTCCCTTCGGACTGAACCAAGCCCCGCCCCCGCCCGGCGCGCCCCGCCCCCGCCGCGCGCCCCCCGCCCGTGCTCGCGCCGGACGCGCGCCTCCTCCCTCCGTCCCCGGCCCTGAGGGGTCGGCGTGGGCGGCCCCCTTACCCGTGCGGCCCGCGTCAGGCTCAGGTCCTTCATGACCTCCTCGAAGGCGGCCGTCTCCTCCGCCTGCTTCTGGTTGTGCAGCGCGATCTTCTCGCTGAATTTCCGCGGATTGTTCGAAGTCGCCATCTTCTCGCCGCCGCCGCCTCCCCCTCCTCCCCCTCCTCCTCCTCCTCCTCCTCCACCTCCTCACCCCCCCAACTCGCCGGGGCCACCGCGCAAGCGCCGGCCGGGCCCACGGGCGGCAGACAGAGCGCAGGCGCGTCGGCGGTCGTGAAGCGCGGCGCAGGCGCACGGGAGCGGCGCGCCGCGGCTACGCGCTCTAAGGCCAGCGTGGGAGGTGTTAGGGGAGAACGGAGAGGAATTTCAGCGCAGGCGCAGTGGGCCGCCTCCTGGCCCGCTGGACAGCGGCCGCCTGGCTGTTGGGCAGAGTCCGAGGACGGGCTGGGGCAATGAGGCCCCTAAGAGGGAGACGGCCAGACCCAAACCCTTCCAGTTTACAAGGATGGAGCCAGCACACCCCCCAAGGATGGATAACACCCGGACGCTGAGTCTGGGTTCAGACCGGTTCAACTTTGACCCAGCTCGGGGAGTTGTTCGTTCATGCATTCATTCATGCAACGGGTATTTACTGGGCATGTAAATTTGCTGGGTACACTGCAGAAAAGGTGTGAGCAAGCAGACGTGGTCCCTGCCCTCATGGGGGTGCACAGTCGGAAAGGGGCAGGCATAACCCACCAACAAACGACCCAAGAACACTTCAGATGGAGATACATGGGATGTGGGAAATAAACCCAGAGGTTGGCTGGCAGGAAAGCAATGTTTGGGAGGGAGGCGCCTGTGGCTGCCGCCATTAGGGAAGTGGGGGGCATTTGAGCCCAGGCCTGAACCTTGTGAACATCACCTCCCCCTCAAAAAAAATATCCCATGCATCATCCTTAACACCTCCTTTTCCCAATTCGCATTTGACCAGTTCCTATTCTCTGGACCCTCAAGCCCAAAGAACCGTAACTACAGAGCTTCAGCCTCCTCTCCACAAGTTTGTTCAGTCCACTCTTGCTGGAGGAGCCCAGGTTTGCCATGGGGTGCTAAAGGAAAAGGTCCAGAAATCCCACCAGACCAGACCAGGAGGGAAAGGGGTAGCAGAGTCTCCCCGGTGGCAGGGGGATGACCCAGGGAAGCAAGAAGGGTTCTGAGATCTAGTCCCTTCCCAAGCAGAGGGACGTTAACCACTCATATCAAAGGTTTACATTCAGGAGGCTCCACGTATTTCAGGGTGTGGACGGAACAGAAGCCAGGAGCAGCAGCTGAGGGAATGTGAGACGGCTCTAATTGCACAAGCGTGCTTCTTACTAGAGCTGAAGAGGACACTGGTGGAGATCACAGGGGGACACCATTTTCTGAATGTGCTCTAATTCACATTTTACAACAGATTAATGAGATGCCCATGTTACATACACAGACATACATAGGTTTTAATTTGGAGTCTTGGGCATTGCCACTTCTCTATTCTATCCTTCTTGTTCATATGGTTTTGAGCACTATTGTGGACTTTAAACTGTTTTGCCTAACAAGCATCTTTCCCCCTTTTGAATATAAACCAACTGCTCTTCAGAGAACACTCTTTGCAACTTTTAGTCCATAGCATATGGATGGGGGTGTCACTACTCCCTCTCCCCACAAACACCCCTTCCCAAGTTGTAAAGCTTGGCCAGTCAGCAGAGCCCATTGGTTCAGGGCATCACAACTGGTTCAGGGCAGGCATGTGACCCAGTTTGCCCAGGGAGATGCAATTCTGGAATTTTTGCTTGAACCACGGGAAAGAGAAGCACCCTCTTTGGGTGGCTGGTTTGAAGGATAACATACGTCTCTAGTGCCAGAAGTCACCACTTGAAGAGAGATGGCCCCAGAAAGTGACCCCATACTGAGGAAAGCTCAGCTATCTGAGCTAATTCTATCATCTCTTTTTTGCTTAAGTCAATCTGAAGTCAATTTTTTTGTCCCTGGCACTGACTGAGACAATGAATTCCGGGAGCCAAGTGCAGGGCTGGGCATTCTGCAGATGTGGCTTCTAGCTCCTTCTAGTAAGATGGAGAGGAAATAGAGACAGCAAGCAGGGACAGCAGCTGCCCATAGGAAGTTAACCACCACAGCTAGGACTGGAACTCAGGTTTGACAGCAGAGCCCAGCTTCCTCCTCCACACCAGGTTTTGTAAGGTTTAAATGAGATTAACACTTGTCAAGTGCCTGGCTCATAGGAAGGACTCAAAAAGTGCTGGTTACCCTGATCACTTACACATGCCTTGCACTGAGCCAGTTTCCTGGCACAGGAAGATAGAGGAGAAAAGATTTGGGAGGAAGCAAGGGTTGTCAGGTCACAGAAAGGGACTGTGCCTGCAGGGCAGAGGTGAAAGGCCAATGCTCTCCCTACTCACTCCCTCACCCCACCCTGGCTGTAACCCAACCCATCCTACACCCTAGTGATGAGTCAGAGGAAGCCTCAAGCCTGCTTATTGCGTAATGGCCGGACGGTGACCCAAGCCCTCCTCCCGCTCCACTGACCCCCCCCCCCCCCAGCGCTAAGGAGGGTGAGGCTGAGGTGTCTGGTGACCTGGGCAGAACCCAGCCTGACATTTTTGCTTTCTTCGTTCATCAAAGATAGCTACTGCCACCCAGTGTGGCTTGGGCAGGACTTCTCAGAGCCTAGTGATCTTTGTCAACCAGGGTGGATCTCAAGCTCCCCATCACACTTAGAAAAAAACCACCCTCCCTGGAGACCCACGAGGCCCTCAGCCCCCTCCCCACTGCCCCAGCCTCCGTGTTGTTCCACCTCCAGATCTTTGCACGTGCTCTTGCCCCTGTCCAGACAGCTCTCCCCCAAGATCCATCAGTGGTTGGTGCATTCTCATCTTCCAGGCCCCTCCTCTGAGAGACCCTCCCGGAGGACCCCACCTGAAGTGTGCCTCTGTGTATGTCCCCTGACCCAGGAGCATCTCAGTCTCTGAAGGCAGCCGTTTCCAGGGTCCTGTCTGGTCCCATACAGACCAAGCTGAAAGTATGTTCACCCTTCCCAAAGTATGTTCAAGTTCCCTGTGGGATGCAGAAGGGACACAGACACACCCAATCCCCTACTCTTGTTCTCAAGACTGTGAGCACTGTAAGCTTCATGCTCTACTTGTCTGTTCATTGTTTTCCTACATCCCAGAGCTAATACAAGACTAAACACAGAGGGGGTATTAGGAAGTTGTTAAATGAATCATTTTCTGCCTGGGAAACCTTCTCAGCTCTCAAAACCCATCTCAAGTGTCTCCCCTACCGCCCTCCAGAAAGCCCATCCTGACCCCTAAAGGTAGCCGTGTTCCTCACTCTAGGCCCACCAGCCCTGGGTCCTTCTCCAGCCAGCCCCAACCAAAAGGGTTGGGAGTATCCAACTGTTGAATAGCTTCACTTTCGTTACAGAGCACATCAAAGTATGAGCTAAGAGGTGAGTCCTTATAAGCCACTCCCTCTCCCTCCTGCCTCAGAATATAGTTTTTTCCCTCCTCTGCTCCATAGCTCTGCCTGGTTCCATTTGTTCCCTGCCAGCTTCCCCCCCACACCCGCTCTCCCACTCCTCCCTGTCCTCCCCTCCAGTCTTGCTGCTGCCTCAGGGCCTTTGCACAGGCAGGATGGCCCTTACCCCCGCATGTAGGCCATAGCACTCCTCAACATAAAGCTTCTAAATACAAGCAAAATTAAACCTAAACTCCGAGCATTCGCGTTCTTGCATGGCCCAGTCCTGGCTGACCTCCAGCTGTGTGACCACAGAAAGTGACTTCACCTCTGAGCCTCGCTGTCCTCCTGTATTAAGTGTGGAGAACGGCACTCCTCAGAGCAGGCTCTTGGGAAGATTAAATAGATCATGTGTGGCAAGCACTTAGCTCCGCGCCTGCTTCCTTGCAAGCACTCGATAACTGTTCGGGAAGCAAAGCCCTACCTCAAGATGTTAGTTTTCATGTCTTGCTTTTCTGCCTTATATGGAGTCTTAGCCAATCTGGGGTACCCACATCACACAGAGGTGAATTCGGGCCAGTGGAGTGAGGAGGCAAAGAGGAAAAGCATCCAAGGCCCGTATTCAACTTCCAAATGGGGCCCTCGTCAGACCGTTTTGAAAGGCAAGCAAGGCAAGAGCCAGGTTTGATCATGAAGCAAAAGCTTGAACCTGACAGAAGCCAGAGATGCCAGATGTGGAATTCACTCCTTACAACTGCATAGGAAGAGGTTAGATGAGGACCCAGGCCCCTAGAGCTGAGTGTGGGGTGGAAGCTGAGATGGGGTGGGTCTGCCTAAGAGGACAGCAAGAAGCCGGCAGGGCCCCAGGACAGCTCTAGAGGGCCAGGGTATGGTGGGAAGGGGCAGAGCCGAGTCCAGTCCCTCCCTCACAATCCCTTGTGCTGAGGGGATGTCTGGGGTGGGCCTTCTAATGACACCGTGATGCCGAGACTTGGCCAAACTCCAGCTGATCTCCTCATGCAGACCCCCTCCCCACTGCCCAACAGCCCAGGACACTGACAGCCCCAACCTGGGTGACCTAAGAGGAGGAGTCACCAACCTCTGGGGGCAGCAGTTGCAGGAGAGGTACAGCAGGCTTTTCATTGTGGTGGCCCAGCATCTGAGTCCACATCCAAGTTTGGGGCGTCCCTTCAATGGGAAGTCACCCACTTGCCACTGACAACAGATTCCCCAAAGCCAGAGGTATGCAGATCAAACTACGGGACTCAGTTACCCATCTGCTACAGTGTGGCTCGTCCTTCTTAAGGTGGAAGACATGTTCCCAGCCCTGATTTTAAACTTGGCAATAATTTGCTTTGGCCAAAGGCACATGGGCAGAAGTGCAGCATATGAGCTCCAAATTTGGACCACAGGAGGCCTCGTGTGATTCTGCCTGTCCTCTGGCACCACTGTAGGAGAACAGATGTTGGCTAGCTGGATCTGAGCCTCCTGGCTGCTCCACAGCCTTGTACCTGGAAGCAGAGCTGCCCAGCTGAGGGAAGCCTGGAATGGGCACTGCCCTGCCACCAGCTGAGTCAAAGACGCATGAAAAACATTAATTTTTGCATGCCATTGAGAACTGGGGGTGTTTGTCACACAGCAGCAGGTAATACCCTGACATACTCACTTTCCCCACTTCCCAGGCAGCTGGGGCATTGGCACAGGACAGGAGCTGGGTCCACAGGATGTTTCCATTTGGGAAACAAGTGGTTCAAAGAAACAGCTCTGAGGCAGGAACTTCTGGTTTCCAGGGGAGGCTATGGCTGAGCGCCTTGGGGCAGATGACAATGCCAATTGTGGCATCTGGATTCTGTGGTGCTGGCAGAAGCATCCTCACCAGCCAGTTCCCTGGCATGAGTCCTGGCTGCCTTGCCCCTTGATTCCTAGTGTTTTCTGAGTCTGATTTTCTGGCATTCCCAGCACTTCTGTGAGCAACCAAACAGCCTTCCAATGCACGTTTGCTATTTAAATTAGTCAGTTTCTGTTGCTTACAAATAAAAACCCTGACTTATATAAAATGAGGAAACCCCAGGGTCTGTTACATTTGTATTATAATCTTGGAACTTTCTGGGCTACAAGTATCACAATATCTGCCCAATATTATCTTGAGTGGCACTGACATTGTGATTTCTCATAAAAAGGAGTCTGAAGGTTAAAAATTTCAGAGTGGGACTGGTGACCCTGTGATTTCAGGGCTCCAGAAGGCAGCATTTCTGTACCTCTCTAAACTTGCTCCTCATGGCCACAAGATGGCTGCAGGAGCTCCTGGCATCGTGTCCTCAGAGGAAGAAGGAACGGAGAATAGGACAATAAGGCCTCTTCCATGTCCAGAAACCCCCAACCCAGACCTTCCCCAGAAGTCTGCTGGCCAGAGCTGGGAAACACGCCCATATAGAACACAACCCCGGCAAAAGACATTGCCAAGAATGGCTCAGCCAAATCCTAAATTAACCCCCAAGGCTGGGCACATGGCTGCTGGCACCAGATCAGGGCTCTGTTAATGAAGTGGGAGAAATGGCTGTTGGGATGGCCACAGGCAGGGTCAGCCACAAAAACTAAGCAGGGGCCTTGTTTGTAAGCACAGCTCTGTGGCCCTCTTTGACCTCGCGTTCTGCAGGCAGATGGTGCCCACAGACTGCTGGAGAAGATGAAGCTCTGGTTTCCAAAACCTCTGTTTGTGCAACATTCAGGCTGTGCTTCCTGGGATACACAGCCAGGTGCCCCTAATAAACCCGTGCGCTGAGGTTCCATGGTAAGTGAAATCTCCAGGGCCCGTGAGAACAGAGAAGCTGGAGTGCGTTCTTGGAGACAACGCCAGGGGCAGGTTTCCAAGCTGGCCAGGTCTGGGGCGGATTCCCACCTCATGCAGCTCCCCCGAGGCCCCCTTGGCCCTGGCTCCTTACAAGGCCCCAGAAGTCACACTTGGCCTCCCTCTCGCGGGCCTGCGGCCCACCGTCCTGGGAGACCGCGTTTTCCCACAGCCCAAGGCCAGGTGTGGAGGGAGGCTCCTGCCTGCCGCGTCCAGGGCTGCAGTGGGGAAGCGGGACATCTGGAAGCAGACGGGCTTTCCCCAGGCTCAGGCTCTCCACGCATGGTGGATGGCCATTCTTGGCCCAAGCTGCCCTGGGCAAGGAAGGCAATAAAGTAAAGGGCCAGCCCCCATCACAGTGCTGCACAGGGAGGGCCAGGCTGGTCCAGGGCTGTGTGTGAGCATGTGTGTCACTGTGTGAGGAAGTATGTGAGCATTACAAAGTGTATGAGCGAGGCTACGTGTGAGCATGAACGTGACCACATGAACATGCATGTTAACAGTGCATGTGTGCAGGTGAGCATGTGCAGGCACACGTGCGTGTGTGCACGCGTGTTCCTTTCTCTGAAGGACACAAACATTCGCAAAGTGAAGATTCAAGCCAGTTTCTACTAAATTAAAAACAGCTTTTTCGTGTTTAAAGTTTACAATACGAAAAATAATTTTCCTTTCTTCCGGAGGTGGGAGGGAGAGGGAGGGGCAGGGGGCCCCTGAGAACATTCCATGAACCAGCCCGGACGGTTATGCACAATCGACCCGGTTAGATACGGCAGCACCCCCCCAATCCAGCACCCCTGCCAGCTCATTGGGGACAAGATGTTCAGAGGTGTGAGCTGATCTGGGGGGACTTGCAACTGGCAAAAGCTTCTCACTGCCCCCCCGAAGGGGCCGTGCCTCCAGCAAGAAAGGGTTCTCTTTGGGGGAGCTCAGGTTGGGGGTGCTGTGAAGGGGCTGGAATGTTCTGGTAAGTCCCCACAGGCCGCTGCTTTTGTTTGGATGCCCCTGGCAGTGTGGGCTCTTTCCTGGTCCCCAACCAAGTTCCTACTTCAACTTGGCCCCCCCACACACACACCCAGCCTCACTGGGAAGCCCTGATGGCCGCTGCACAGGAGTGCCAGCATCTTGAGGGTGACCCCAGAGGCCTCCCCTCTCAGAATGCTGTCTGTGAACAGCAGACAGGCCCTTTACCACTGTGCAGCCTGCTTCATGGTGAGGGCAGCCAGGAGGGCAGGGGTGGGGCCTAGTTTGTGGAGCTCTTGGGCCCGTATGGAATGGCGATGACGCCATGCTTCCTTTAGGACCAGCCCTGCATCTCCCCCATCACACCTCCAGGGAGAGGGGCTCCCCAGCTTCCCCAGAACTCATGCTCCGGGTCTAAGCAGATGGAGACACAACCTGTGGGGGTGCTGGAGACGGCCTGGAGGTAGGCGGCTCAGCCACCAGGTGCCTGGAACAAACTGGAGAGTCTCAAGGCCATTCAGCCCAGGACAGGGTCACTCTTGTTTTCCATGCACAGTGGAAGTTCTGGCTGCACCCCCCACTGCCCCCGAGCCCCCGGCTCCTCTGCAATGCTGGAACGGAGCAAGGCAGGGACAGGAGCCCTCTGACATGCAGAGGACATGAGGAATCTGGGACCCATCAGTCCCCACAAGCTCAGGCTGGGCCCGCTCCTTCATTTCCCATAATATTTTTATTAAATAAATTCATTTCCCCGTAATATTTTTATTAAATAAATAATAAAACAGCTTTATTAAATAAATAAAAATATTAGGAGACAACATCTGCTAAGCTAAGAGGTCAATTCTTTACACAGTGAGGGTGTCACACAGACACAACATCAATCGTCCCTTAGCAGCAAAAGAGACACTTTAAATTGCCCCCAAGGTACAAAATCCCTTTTATAAGATAGCGGTGCTGGCCTCTTAGAGAAAAAGCAAAACAGACACACACCAAAGGAAAAAAAAGTTTTAGAGATTTAGACACCAAAACAAGCATAGAAACATGGCAAGAGATGCCTCGAAGCCCCTGAAGGGAGAGGCCTCGCCACCAGCCTGACCTCCTGCACTGGGTGGGCACAGGCTGGGTGGTGTGTCAACCCCAACTTGGGACCAAGAGAAGTGGAGGTTGGAAAGAGGGAGAGAAATAAAGTCACTTGACAGACCTGTGGACTGAAGACAGACTGTACATTTCTAGAGCAGGCACCCCCTCCCTTCCCCTGTTGATGGAAACAGGGACAGCAGGACATCCTCACCCAGAACTCAGGAAGGCAGACACCCAGGGCCAGATGCAAGGCCCAGTGCCCAGAGGGACCAGCTTTGGGGTCTGGCTTCGTTTTTTCCTCCTGAAAGGGGGTAAGTGCGTGTCCTGATGGTGCGGGGACTGGGGACAGGAAGGTGGACAAGACAGGACCCTCCTGTGAGGCTCCCGCCTGCTCCAGCAGCTTGGGCTTATTGGAGAGCTGGAAATGTGCCCTCCTCGGTCACCCAGAGCCAGGTTCTTTGGAGCCGCCACTCCTGCTCTGGAGGCCCAGACATGACAGAGATTTGGGGTGCAATTTTTTTTAAAAAGCATGCAAGCTCAAGACACTTGAGGAGGAGGGCACACTGTGAACCATGGATTGGGGGCCCATGTTGATGAGCTTGTGCCTGAATGTCTGACAGGGCTGGGTTGGGGGAAGGGAGAGAAGCAGGGCAGAGCACAAGGGGACACCCCGAAGGAGACATGCCCGCCCAAGAGCAACAATGAAGGGCAGGAGAGGAAACCTCTTCAGGCAAGCGTTTGCTGCTGCCCCTGCCACAGGTCGGCCTCCTCGCTAGCAGGCTCCCTGGTGGGAAGCCAAGGGACAAGGATATGCTTTGGGAAGGGACAGACTGGGGAATGGGCCAGCCCAGGGGGCAGGGACACTTCCACAGTTCTCAACCCAGAGGTGTGTTTGCCAAACCACGTGGCCGGGAGTCTGTGGGCCCTAGGCGCTACCTCCTGGTCCCAGCTCCGGGCAGCAGGACAGGGGCACAGGCGATGCCTGCAAAGGACTCTGGGAAGTGCAGGTCACGCTCCCACTCGTCCGTCTCGGTGTTGTACACCTGCACAACGCTTGTCACATTGTTGAGGCGCCAGTTGTAGCCACCGACGATGTAGATCTTCCTGTCCAGCAGGCAGCAGCCAGCCTCCGACTGGCCAGCCCGCATGGGGCTCACGCTGGTCCACTGGTCCGTCTCAGGCACGTAGTACTCCACAGCCAGCACATCGAAGCAGTGGTCCACGTGGTCCATGCGGCCACCAAGGGCGTAGATGCGGCCACCAGCGCTCACCATGGCATGGAGCACACGGGGCTTGCTCATGGGCGCCTTGAACTCCCACTGGTCAGCTACAGGGTCGTAGCAGTGCAGTGCCTTCTTGTCCTCCACTGAGATGCCGTAGCCACCTGAGATGTAGAGGTAGCCCCCAGCCGAGGCCCCTGCATGGCCCCAGGTGCGGCGCGTCAGCGAGCGGACGTAACCCCACTTGTTGCGCCGCGGGCAGTACCTCTCTACTGAGGCCAGGCTGCCGGCCCGGTTGCGGCCGCCAGTGGCATACACCATGCCATACAGCACATTCAGCTGGAACTGGATGCGGCTCTCCTGCATGGCCTGCAGCCTCAGCCAGCGATTCAGGTGGGGGTCATAGCGATAGCAGGTATCCACTGCGCCCTCGCCACTACGGTACTGCAGGTGCTGGCCCCCTGCCATGTACACAAAGTTGTCCAGCACAGCTACACATGTGTGGCTACAGCCTACCTCCATCTCTGTGAGCTCACGGAAATGGCGGGCACCTGGCTCAGGCAGCTGGTACACCTTGCTGCTGACAAAGCGGTCGCTGTCAGTGTAGGGTGTGCCACCAAAGGCCACCAGGGAGGGCACATCCGAGCGCACAACCGTGCGTGGCGACTGCATCTCGTGCTGTCGGAAGGGCAGCACCTGGTAGTTGAAGGCCTCCAGCAGGTACTGGCGGCACAGCATGTCCTCCACCATGATGTCCAGTGTCTGCACACTGTCTACCAGGTCCGATGACTGCATGAGCGGGAAGCGGATGTGACAGAGCACGTGGCTGGCTCGCAGCCGCCGGGCCGGGTCATGATGCAGCCAGCGGACTGCAGCCCGGAACAGGTCAATTTCAGCACAGCTCTGCAGCCGGTTGCTCTGCAGGAAGAAAACAAGACGCTCCAGAGGCAGGTGCAGGAAGTCCTCCTCCTCAGCGATCTGCAGGAAGTGCCGGAAGGTGAAGGTGTCCACTGACTCCTTCAGTGAAGCCAGGCTGAAGATGGTGGCCATGTGGCCGATGTTGAGACAGGTCTCCACACTCATGGCAGCCTTGAGGAATTCCTCACACAGCTCCACCACTGGCAGCATCTGCAAGAACACAGCTGCACCCAGCACATCCTGCACACAGTCCAGGTCCAGGGTCACCTCACTGCTGTAGGCAAAATCGACAACGTGCCGCAGGCCGCGAGCTGACATGCCCTTTAGCTCAATGACGTCCTGGCTCGCCTCTCTCATGCCACCAGTGAACATGACCCTGAAGGTTGGAAACAGCAGGTGGGCCTGGGCATTCTGGCTGACCGGGAATGGGCTGGACCTCAGTCCCGCAAGCAGGCCCGGCTGGCCAGGGAAGCAGTGCAGGTGCTCATTAAAGAAATACAGAAAGGCAAAGAAAGATTTTTAATCCCCCCGGATCCCTGCATCTTCCTATAAACATCGACTGCCCATGCGGCCACTCTGTTGGGGGGCCCCACCCAGCCACTCTGTGGGGGGGGCCCCACCCAGCTTCACCCGGAGTTGCACAGCACTGGGGCCCAGTTGGCTCAGGAGCAGAGGCCGGGGTCCACTCACAGTCGGGTGGGTGTGGATGGGCAGGAGGACACCGAACCTTGGCTTGCTTCTGGGCACAGGTCTCCAGAACCAGCCCTGGAAACCATACCCGTGGGCAGCTCAGGTAATAAGGTGGCGACCCCAGGGCACTACATCCCAGTGGCCCACAGTCTAGCCTCTCACTAGCAGGCTCACTTGGGCGGATGGCTCTACCTTCCCCAGCCTGAGTCTTGGTGGCTGTCACACACGGATGAGGTGACGGAGAGGGTCCCCGGGTCAAAGTGTCCATCAGGGACTCTGAGAGAGGCCCAGGCAGTCAGGGAAGGCCCCAGAAAATGGCCCACAGGAGCCCCAGCCCACCATGAGAACCAGTGAGTCCAACCCTGTCAGCCACACTGTCCTGCTCTGGGAAGCATCTCTAACGTGACCACCAGTGAGAGACACAGGACCTGGGCCACAGCCCCCCCACAGCCTTTAGGGGACCCCCATCAGGAAAAGAGGCAAGAACCCCAGTGCCTGCTCAGCATTCACAGGAGGTCCTAGAAGATGGTGTGCACAAAGTTCCTCCCACAGGGCGAGCCGGCATTTCCTCATGACCGTGACTGCAATCCGTGCACATCGTGATGGCTGCTGGAGGGGAGGAGACGTGCCTGGTCCATTCACCTGACAGATGCCTGGCCCCTGGTCAAACCCAGAGCAGGGACAGCTGAGCTCGTCGCTGCCACGGTGCCACACCTAACCAGGCCCAACACCATGCAGCAGGGCCTCCTACGAGCAGCGCTCTGCCAGCCCCCAGACTCTGCCCCTTCCTGTCCCTGCGAGTCCCGTCGGCCCATCGAAGGCAGACACAGTCACGGCGACGGGAAGGAGCTTTGCCTTTTAAGGCCTCACTGGCTGCAGTGCCAGCGCAGAGGAGCCTTTAAAGGACATTTCTGGCTGGGCCGGCCCACCCGACCCCAAATCCAGAATAAAAATAGAAGCAGCGCCCCAGATGGCTTGGCTGCTCTGGTTGCCCAGGACAGTCTCGTTGAGCCCAAGAGGCAGGCAGCTGGGGCACGCTGGGCAAGGCACCTGGTCTGGAGTATGCGGCCCGCAGCCTACCTGGGCACCAAGGGAAAGAGCTGTGCCCAGACTGAGACAGCCCCAGCAGGTGAGGAGAACGGCCACTGGCATTGCTCCATGGAGCCCTCGCTCCCCTGCCCGGCTCTGCACAGGGTAGGAGCTTTCAGGGAAGGGCCTCCACAGCAGACTGACCCATACACCCAGCGAGGCCATGCTTGTTACGTGGGGACTAGAATACAGCCTGGCACACACTGGGCCACCATCTAGGCATTCCTCCTGCCTCTTGGCCTAAGTACAGGGACTGGCACCTATGTTATCACTACCGGACCTAGAGGCCTAGCATAGCACTGGGCACACACAGGTGTCACATAAGGACAGACTGAAAACCACAAGCTCTGCCAGCCCCTAAGACAGAACCTACTAATCGGGCACCCACAAGCCACCTCTGCCCCTCAGAAATGTTCTGCTTGCATGCACAATGTCCCCATAAAGTTTGAATGAGCTGCAAACCTGGAAAGGCCCCTTAGGTTCACTGGACATGTGGCCGAAACCTACCATTTTCCCTCGGAGCCCCGGGGCTGGAGAGTGCAGAGCGCGCCCCCTCGGAGCAAGGTGGTGCTCCCCAGCCCGCCCCCAGGGGCCCTCGCTCACCTGAAGTAGTCACTGCAGGCGGCCAGGACCACTCTGTGCGCATGGAAGGTCTCTCCGTTGACGGTGAGCACCACATCCAGGAGCTGGCCCTGGGCGCGGAGGGCAGCAAGTCCCTGCAGGAGGCTGGCACTGTGGCCAGGTGCTGAGAAGGTGCACCTCAGGGCTCCATTCTTGTCTGACATGCTGTGGGAGATCAGGAAAGGGGTGGCGCTCAGTGGCCTCAGGCCGGGGACCCTGGTGGGGAAATCACCAGAACCAGCCCAGAGGAGCGGAAACAAGACCTGGGTCCCACTTGCCTGCACGGGCCTTGGTAGCAGATGCTGCCTCCCCAGCCTCCCTTTGCCACCTGTGAAATGGGCGTGATTTCGTATAGAACCTGAGGAGGCTCCAATGGCCCTATCTATAGTTTTTTCGTTATAGGACTCACATAACATAAAGCTCACCATTTTAAAGTGAACAATTCAGTGGCACTCAGCACATTCGCCATGTTATGCGACTGCCACCTCTGTCTAGTTCCAGAACGCTCCCATCAGCCCCAAAGGAGACCTGGCCCCAGTGAGCAGCCACACCCCGCCCCTCCCCCAGCCCTGGCAGCCACTGATCTGCTCTGTCTCCGTGGATGCGCCTGTGCTGGACATTTCCACGGCGTGTATCAAGGCCTCATTCCTCGCTGAGGCTGGACGTACCGTGTGGATGGACCAGAATTTCTTGATCCTGTCACCCATACTATGGACTTTTGGGTTGCCTCCATCCCTCCACTTTTTAAAACTTTATTTAACTTTATTTAGTTATTTTTCATTCTAAATGTGCCTCCTAGATGTTCATTTTGAGACGCAGGACTCCCCACGTCATGCCACTGCTCCCTGGGCCCCAGTGAGCTGTCCGCACGGGCGAACCCCTGTTCTCTTCCCCATAGGGTGGCAGTGGGATTCAGGTGTTGGCTCTCAGGAGGAACCTGGTGGCCCACAGCCTCCTGGGCAGTTCTGGGTCCCAGGAATGAGGGCCAGCCTTGCGTGGGGTGGAGGGGCACTTCTAGGAGGGGCTGGCCTTCACAGCCCAGCTGCTCTGACACCTGCCCGGCGACCTCCTTGTGACCAGCACCCCAGGGGAGCAGAGCCACATGACCACAAAGTTGCTTTCAGCTGAATCTGGCTCTGGGCTGCATTCAGTGACCACCCCGTTGAGGGAAAGGGTCCCTTGGTCCCCCCTTCCAGGGACAGAGACACAGTGAGTGGCTTGTCCACACCTCGAGGCAGCTGGGCCCAAAAGTGATAGACTGGGTATGAGCTTCCCGTCACCCCGTGGCCAACTGGATTTGGGGGGACAAAGCCAATTGTGGGGAAGCCACAAAACCAAGAATATCTGCACTAAGAAGATGGGTTTACCTGTGGGCAGCTCGATGCGAGGAGGGGGCAAGTGAACTAGGTTCCTGACCTCAAAATGAGGATTCAGGAGGCAAAGGTCATTTAGAATAATAACATTTAAAAAAAGAAAAAGGTGGAAACAACCCAAACAGCCTTCAATGGATGGACAGATAAACCAAATGTGATGCACCCACAAGACAGAGTATTACTGAGCCGTGAAAAGGAATGAGGCCAATACACAACACAAGGTGGGTGGACCTTGAGACCATGCTGAGGGAAGGCAGCCGCACACAGAGGCCATGCAGTGTGCGGTTCCATTTACGTGGAATGTCCAGAACGGCAAGTCCGCAGCCGGAAAGCAGATCGGTGGCTGCCAGGGGCTGGGGAGGGGAGATGTGGAGCGAATACTCGTGGGGACGGGGTCTCCTTCTGGGGTGACAGGAATGTTCTGGAACTAGAGAGAGATGGTACTTGCACAACACTGTGGATGTGCCAAATGCCTCTGAATTGTTGACTTTAAAATGGTGAATTTATGTTATGTAACTTTCACCTCAATAAAAAAAATAAAACACAACCGAAGGCAAGGCTATCTAAGCCTTCTTAGGTCCTGTATGAAATCCTGCTGTGCCCCCCAGTGCCCTCTGCATGGGAGGCCCTCTGGGGTCCAGCCCCACCACCCCACTCACCCTCATCCAATGCCCCTATCACCTGTGCTGCTCCATCAGAAAACTCTTCTTGAAAGCATCCCTGAACAAAGGCTTAGGAGGCCTCATTATATCACTTCATCCACAAACCACTGCAGGAGGGGTCAGTGCCATCACCTCTAGGGGCAGTTCCCCACGGGGTCAAAACACCCCCCGCCCCCCAACTCTCCCAGCCCTTTCCCGTACCCGGGCCAAGGCCACCGACCCGAGCACCCTGCTCTCTCCCCACAGCCTCCAGATCTCTGGAACTTGCTTTCCCATTTTTGGGACTGACGCCTGCCTACAAATGAGGGCCAGGAATGTGGGCACTGAGGGCTTTCCAAGAAAGCAGGAGGAGAAGAAAGAAGGCTCCTCGGCCCCTACTGCCCAGCAGCTCCCAAAACAATCCTGGAGGTAGAAGAGCTGACGCCAAACACAGAGTCAGTGTTCAGTCAACGTAGACGCTGCCAACGAGATCTCTGACCCAGCATCGCCCACCAGCCTCAGAGGCCCTTCCAGAGAGCCTGGGGGAAGGGGCTGAGCAAACCGATGGGCAGAGGGGCTGCAAGGGTCCCAGGTGATGCCAACAGCTGTGAGGTGCTCAGGGTCCTGAAGGCATGGGGACCCAGTGGGGTAACATGAGACATGGCTTGGTGGGCACACAGCCTGCACCTGGCAGAAGGCCTTCCCATCCCTGGGAGGAGGAAGCACACAGGATTTGGAGCCCAGCACCATGGTTGTCTGGGAGGGCGATGCTGGGGGTCTGGTGGAGCCAGTGGTTGGATCCGGCGCTTGCCTGGGAGGTGGGGTATGCAGCCCTCCTGAAGGCCATGGAGGGAGGGAAGGAAAGGGACCCAGAAGGACCCCAAGTCTCTAGCTTGGCCCAGTCTCCTCTTCCTGCCAGGTGGAGGGGACACTCACCTCATGCCCCCTTCCCCTCCCAGACACGAAGCAGCCGGTCCAGCCCCTGCACCCAGCCCACTCTGCCTAACCAGGCCATGGCTGGAAGCCCAAGGCTCTGCTCCTTCAGTTTCCCAGGACCGAGGTCCCACAACTACCCCCAAGTTCTGAGGATCACGAAGAAAATGTCACGGGTCCACGGACACTCAGACTTCAAAGGGCTTCAGAGTGAGCCTACCCTCTGGGGTGGCCTCCACTACATGGGACATCTCTAGGGACGGGGTCTCGCTGTCTCCTCTCGTCAACACCCTCCAGTGGCTGCCTGAGCCACGGCCGCGTCCCACACAAGCCTCTGAGGCCCTTGCGGCTCCTCCTGCCCTTGCCTGTCTCTTTCCCCACACAGCATGACCCAGGCAGAGCGGTCCTGCCCTCATGGGGCACACAGTCTGGGAAACCCAAAGTGGTCAAATCATCAATCAGCCTCACATTGCAGCTGTGAATGTCCCAGAGGGGAGGGACAGGAGCCGGGGACAAAGGTGTGAGGCCAGAAAGCAGGGGTGTCCCAGCTTCTCCTCCCAGGTCTGTCACCTCTGTGGTTAGACAGTGACACACAGCCTCTCCCTCGGAGCAGGGGGCTTGGCTGCATCCTGAGTGCTGGCCCGGAAGGCCTGGCTGGGGACCCTGCCTGCCCTGGGAAGCCAACCCCTTCCCTGTAGCCTGGCCTGGGGCTCCGCCTACACCAGCGACAGACAAGCCTGTGCAGCCCCCCCCGCCCCACTGCAGGCCCCCTTCTGTCTGGGGCTGGCATTCCACTTTCTCTGTGCAGCACGGCTACCTGGGGAACAGCTGGTGTGACCCCTAAGAGCCTCCCTCTCGGGGCCAGGGGTTGGAGAAGAGGCATGTCTCTCTCAAATGTCACCATGTATGTGAATAATGAGGGACCACATCAAGATTCAGACTTGGCAGGTCTGGGTGGACCAGGGGATGGCAATGCTGCTCTTCGCAGGCCATCCCACTCAGCACATCGGATTTTGGGGTGTGAGGAGGTGATACAGCATCAGCATGTCACCTTCATTACCAGGATCCCCTTACTCACCCAAACCCAGAGCCTGGCCCTGAGCAGAGGGTCTGGGTGTTGGGCAGGACCCAAAGGCTAAGAGATACAGCTTAGTGAGACCCACTCCTCTGGGAAGCCTGCCTAGGTCACACCATGACCCTTGCCTCACCAGGCTCCGGCACCTGGAGTGAGGAGCAGAGAGCAGGATTCTGCCCCCTGCCCTGCTGGGTCTTCATTTTCTCACCTGTGAAAGGAGGAAGGCAGGAATGCAGATGTCACAGGGCAGCCATGAGGCCCCCCGCCCCATCACCTCCTGGGAAATAGACCACAGACCACCGACCTCCCCCAGCTCCCTTTGGGCTGGGGAGATGAAGAGGCCCAGTGGGGTCAGCATCCTGCCACCACTCACACAAGCTGCCTGTGTGCCCTTGAATGGGGCCAAGCATTTGGGAACTTGACACCTGGAATCCTATGCACAAAGCACCAGAAACAGCCCACCTGGCTGGCCTCACAGATTTTGTGGAATCTCCCCCAAACGGCCTTTGCCAGTTTGCTTTCAGCTGATGCTGTTTTCTTAAAAGTTCCTCAGAGATTGTTGGGCAGGGCAGGAAGACTTCCTAGGCTTCCTCTAAGCCCTGGGGATTGGAGTACATGTGCACATTTTCCCCAAAAGTTTCCAGCGGCAACTTCATCCTGGGGCTGCCTGGTTCCTGGACATATAGTTACTGTGGTCCTCCATACAAAAAGAGCACTAAGAAATCAACATGAAATCAACACAAAGTCATAACCCTCACAGAAAGATACACAAAGGATGTGGACTGACAGACAGTTCCTAGGAAAGGAAGCACAGCTGGCTATAGAAACCTAAGACGGCCTCACTCACAAAAGTGTACTCAATAAGGAACTGGCTTCACCCCTCAGATGGACAGAGGCATCGGCAGCAGATATGCTCACGTCAATTCCCAGTGGGAATGTGAAGTGGGACAAG